TTGGTATATTATTTCAATATCTCCGCATCGGGGGGTTTTTTCCATACAGCATATCCGTTAGCTGATTTTTCGTAAAATAAGTCCGTCAAATCTGCTGTATCCCGTGATAGAAACTATATAGCTCGGCTTCCAGCCGTGCGCGATCTTTCACTATGGGGAAGGCCTTTACTAACGATTTTTTTGAAATTTTCAAATTACGTCGGGCTTCCAAATTCACCTAGAAGAAATTTGCCTATATTTTCCACCATAGCGCGGCCTGTCCCTCTTAGTGCTGATGTGGCGATGCCAACTTTTTGTCTCTCAGGCACAGGTAGAGCTGAAAGTAGTTTTCTAGACCTTCGAAAATACCGCCACCGAAATTTTTCCGTCGAAATGGACGTTTGGCTTGATTGATGCTCTCAAAGTCTGGACCAGGAAGCCAAATCCTTCTAACTGAGTTGTCATTTCTTGGTGTTGTCAGCGGCTTCCATCCAGTTTTCGGCCATTTCAGTCGATAAGGTCGGGCGCCAATATAACGTTGCGCGCCTCTAACTTGCACGCAACCAAGAGGTGACTGTGAAACTTGTAAAAGACAGAAGCTTGTAAAGGGTTTAAGTCCCTTTTTATTCAACGTAATAAATTAAATGCGTCTCTTGACGCTTACAGACGGTGCCAACTAGGCAGTCAATAAAATAATAACCTGAAAAAATAAAGACAAGATTCTAACTACGGGCTCCTAAAATCTCACTCACCGCGTTTACAATACCGCTGCTAATTCGCAGACTTGAAGCTCACTGGAATGATGACCCTAACTTCCAGCCAGCAACGCGGGGTTCTTCAATTCTCGTAACTCCTCGCGCTCGAAGTAAGAGAATCTCACACGAACTAGTTTCCTTCTATTTTAAATCAGAATACGTTGATATTTGAATCTGCGCGTTTACTCAAATTTATATCTGGCATTGGCAGTTCCCGGGGAAAGTAGGCTTGAGGAAAGATAAAACTTAAAAAGGGAATAAATAAACCTACAAGTACTTAAAGTATTAGTAATATATTTCCTACAGGCTAGTTTCGATCTTGTTATCATACAGAATGTCAAAAAGAGTGCAGATTTCTCTTTCTGAGATCGCTCAAAGGCTTAATTTAATTTGAACTTGTACCTCAAAAACCTAATTAAGAATTTATTTTTAGATAGCAACTGATCAATTCAATTTGCATGTAAAGCAGACCACGTGATGTGGTTTAATAATGGAGGATCGAATTTAATTTATAGTGCCAATACAAGATTTCGTGGTTGTTTGGATCTAGAAAGAAAAATCTATTCTTAGGACTGGAAAGGATAGATTTGGGCATCAGAGTAGGGGTTTCCCCGGCAATGTAAGGAGTTGGAAAATTTTGAAGGTTAGATTGGCACATTAGGATCTGAAGAGAAGAGAGAGAAAAATTTTTAAAGCTGAAAAGGGTTCTAACTCAATAAGCATTTAAGTTACTTTAAAATAGCAAGTCAATTAAATTCCATCTCATATTTTAGCAGATTAATCATTTTAAACTATTATGCTTAATTATGATTAGAAGTTTCACGCCTTGAAAGCACTATTTGGATATATAGAAGATTTATAGCATATTCTAAACAGGTATTGTGACACAAATCGTACTTTTTCTGATATAACATGCCATTTTTCGATTTCGATTTACGACAAATTATCCATATATTAAATTTTGCAAGGGGGGGAGAAAAAAAAAGATCTGGCGCATTTTTTTTTTTTTTTAGTTTGCTTGAAAAATAATCACTTGGCGAACTTAATTTTTACCACATATATATTTATTTTATATAATACATATTTTTTCCTTTCCTTTTTTGCATTGTGCATGAGCGGAAAAAGGTCATCGTTCATGCTTACACAGTGCCCTGTAAAGCATAAAATACTTACTTTAATGCACAATCTATTATTAGATCAAACAACATGTTACAGTGAAACAAAATTTGAAAATATAAAAAACTAAACAAGAAACCTGATTTCACTTTTCTCCATGGTTCCATCATGTGATGACATCTTTTTTACTTCCATTCGAATTCAGGTATTATGAGGCTCGGTGGTGTTATCTTTGTCTAAGCCAGGGGTCTCCAAACTACGGCCCAAGGGCCAAATCTGGCCCGCGAGCACTAATAATCCGGCCCGCCAGGGGTTTCTTTAAAATATTTTTTTTAATTTAAAGTAACAAATAACATACACATTAATATTTTATAATAACAGCCAATCTAGAAATGCGTTGCCTATCATGCGCGTTGTATACAAAACATAATATAGACATTATACATCATTTCTAAATTACTATGAGGGAAATACGCTCTATATAAAAAATCTGATGGGGACACACATGAATTCCTCATATGTCCTTTAAATTAACGTATTTTTGGCCGCACTTCATTTAAACTTATTTCCTCGAATTTCATTATAGATATAGTTCTCATTCAATCAATTCAGTTCTCACTTCGTGACGAGGCAAAATACATAAAAACGCAAAACATCTTCAAACAAAACAGGAGTTGAAAATGTAAACAAATAGCGACTTTAGTAGGCTTAGTAGCACTTAAACAACTTTTAAAATATTGATAATTCTACAACTATTGCATGCAGATTAAATAAAGTCATAAAAAACCTTAAACCCCCTGAGTCACTTCGAAAGCAAAAATCGCACAATCTACAAGGATATAAGAATAAAAACTAAACTCCCCGTCTCCGGTAACAGACTGGGTAGATATACATAGAGTTCTGATGCAGCCGATTGCAAACAAAAAGGAGGTGCACAACTACATGTTATACATGTCCCATATACAAAATTCACGTTTTGAGCCACTCGTTTTCGAGTTATGCGAGATACCTGCATACGTACGTACAGACATCACGAGAAAAATCTCTTCTGAATCCAATTTGAGAAAAAGATTATTTATTCTGTCCGTACGAACAGATGTCACACCAAAAAAAAAAAGTTCAAATGGATTCGAGAGAGAGAGAAGGTCAAATGGATGTTTTCGTTGAAATATGATATCCGAATTTTTCGCGATTACAATACTTCCCTTACTTCGTACAAGGAAGTAGAAAACTCTCATTGTACTCTTTACAGAATAAAGGTTTCGTGTGTTATCTTTTCTAGTTTTTATAGTAGCATTCTAAGTGCTTCATAGAAATTTCAGTAGTGATTTTTTTAAATCTTAATTTTCTATATGTTGTAATTTATTTAATTTTCGAGATTTTTTTAAACTTGCTTATGGAGCGAATGTTTGCAGCTGATCAAAATGTAAACAATGCGCTGAAAATCAATGAAAAGCAAAGTACATACTAAACCGAGAAATCTAATATTCTTGGACAAATTATATTTTTGCAAATGTTCAAAAACAGCTTTAAGAAATTTATTTAGGTGAAACTGCATGAAGTCTAAAAAAAAGGATCTCTTTGTAAGGTCATAGTGGTATAGATCCAATCACAAAATCTTACTGCCTCGTTTAAAAACTTGTATGCTGTTCATCAGTTGCATCGCCATGGATGATGAACTAACTGGATCTTGGCCCTCGAAGCTTCGTTAAAGCCCCAATATGCCCCGCGGGCTGAAAAGTTTGGAGACCCCTGGTCTAAGCTAATCTTTAATCAACTTCATATTATAATGCGAAGTTTCAGAACGTAAGAATGCATTTAATTGCTAATTTGCTTCTGTTCAGACAGAAGATCGTATATGTTCTCTTGTTACGACACTAACAAATTGCACTGAAATTTTATCAGCTCGGTACCTGAATAAGGCTCATCTTCTTGAATGGTTTTTCGTGACCTTTGTGGTGAGTTTTGCTATGTAAGTTTAGTAAAAGTAAAAGGTAATATTAGTAAAAGTAAAAGTAAAAAGCTAAGTAAAAGATGTTGCAATAAGCTGTGCAATTAGCTAAAGTATTTGTATTCTCTATACTGCAGCTCTTTGCATGTTAAATGACTTTTTTGTCCCTTTTATATTTTATTTCTTTTTGCAACTTCTCTTTTAAATTTTTGCTTTTTCATAAGCTTCAGAAGAAATATATATATTTTACGATTTTCCCCGTAAAATGTATTTTCTATAAATTTATGAATTCTATGAATTCGGGAAGTAATGTCTTCACAAAAGGTATTTGAAAAGAAATTGATTCGTGTTTATGATAAACCTAGGAAAGACCATGAAATTTTCATGATACACCTAGGAAAGATCATGAAATTTTCATGATACACCTAGGAAAGACCATGAAATTTTCATGATAAACCTAGGAAAGACCAGAAAATTTTTATGATAAACCTACGAAAGATCATGAAATTTTCATGATAAACCTAGGAAAGACCATGAAATTTTCATGATAAACCTAGGAAAGACCATGAAATTTTCACGATAAACCTAGGAAAGGTGCTGTCAGGTCGTTCTCCGGAATTTGAACCGGATTACTACCAGCGTTCAGCGGTCTTATCTACATGATTGTGGGTGGACCTGCTAGAATGCAAGGAAAAATTAAAACGCAATACATTTAAACAATCTTAAACAGGCTACTCATGGGGCTACTCATTATTAATAAAGTTATAAGGTATTTCTTCCGCCTATTTAGCATGCCTTCGTCGTGTAATAGCCAGCCCACTCGGTGCGTAGTCTAGAGGTCCCAGGTTCGAGTCCCGGCGAAGGCATTGCTCATGTTTCATGTCTCCTGCTTCGAAATAACCTAATGTCTCTACAAAGTTTACATGTTTTATGTTTTTTCTTGATGCGCTTCATAGTTGAAAATAAAAATTGCAATTCTTTTCTTGAAAGAATTCCTAACCTCATCTTTGTCCTTCCTCAGATAAACACATTCGTTGAATTTTGTCTCACCCTTGTTCCGACTGTACTAAACGCAACGTTGAATCGTTATCTTTATTTTTCATCTTGACAGATTGTAAGAGGCCAACTAAGCATGCAAAATTTTAATAAAGTACAAATTTTTTAAGAAATATCTCACTAATTTTATACCTTTTTTACAGATCTTAGTAACTTATAAAAGTGGATGGAAGTTTGAAAATGAAGGGCACGTAATTATACGCAAGTTTTTCACGCTGACCATGCATGAATATGTAACTGCATTGCTATTCCTGACTTCTTTGTCTGGTAAGTTTTTAAATATTTTCTTTTCAGAATGCTTCGTAATCGTTAACATAATTTCTGTCATGTATCCAAAAGATTGATATCCATGTCAAGATTACTCGCGAAGTCATTAAACAAGATTATTTAAAAAAAAAAGGTAATTACATAACATATTGATGAGCATAAAAGTGTATGAAAAGAAACAGTGGAAGGTAACAGCAAATGTAACTCACAAAATTGCTTAATAAAGAAGCAGCTTTAAAGGACAGTTTATAGTATTAGCACGACTTATAAAAGGGGCACAGGAAAATAATGTAAAAAAACGTTGCTAAAGCTAAAAATATATTTACGTTGTTTAAAATAAAGGAAAATAATGTACCATTTGTTTCTGGAAGGTCACTGAAAATCTTCATACCAGTCTTAGGTATGTAACAAACGTTAGAATATCTAATGTGGAAACCACATGATTTCTTTGTACGGCTTATTTAATTATTTAATTATACACATATTTTGCTGCATTACATTTAAACCTATTTACTTGAATTTCATTAGAGATCTATTTCTCATTCAATAAATTCAATTCTCATTTCGCGGCAAGGCAAAAATACATAAAACATTAAATATTATAAAATATAGAAAAACATAAAACACCAAATAAGATAAAAACAGCTAAAAAACATTTTTTACGATTAAAATTAGAGTTTCAACGCAAAAACATTCAAGGCAGGTAGAGACAAATTTTTCGGTGTACAAAATTGAAAGTTTACTTTTGGTCCCACGCGTCAAAAAGACATTGAAGTTCGTTCACAAACGGACTTAACTCTCTATTCTGCTAGGAGTTTCAAATATAAACAAATGGCGGTCTTGTTAGGCTTAGTACCACTTAAACAACTTTTCAATTATCGATAATTATACAACTATTGCATGCAGATTCACTAAAAGCGTAAAATCCTTAACCGAAACATAACATAAAAACTATATAATTTAATCACTTTGAAAGCAAAAAATGCACAATTTATTACCAACATGTAAGAATGAAAAAAATTCAGCTCACCATGCCAGGTAATAGAGTGGATCTATATATACATTTTTGGTGCCGCGGATTCCAGCCAAAAAATGGGAGATGCACAAGTACATGTTATAGCAGCCTCATATACAAAATTTAAACGTTCTGGGGCTACTCATTATTTAATTATGAGAGATACATACATACGTTACGAAAAAAGAAAAAGAAACCTTTTCTGAATCCATTTTAACAATCCGTTTTATAAACGAGCCCTTTATTCTGTCCGTGCATATAAATGTCATACAAAAATGTCGTTCAAATGGATTCAAGAGCGATCAAATAGATATTTTCATTGAAATATGATATCCGATTTTTTTTTGCAATTACAATACTTCCTTTACTTCGTACAAGGAAGCAAAAATACTAAGGATAGATACTGTTAATATAGGTAATACATATTTGGCTGCTAATGTGTTATTTTATACGAGTGCAATACAGGTAAAATCAAATATGATTTTAAAATGTTCTTCTTCATAACTCAATATGAATGAAAATAGTAACTTTCTTAAACAAAACTTACTGTCATATAGAAAATTTCTTAAATTGTAGTTCTTGTTTAATCAGCAACGAATGTCATGTTTGCTCGTTTTACTTCACTTTAAAGTGTTATAAACTAAAATATTCAGTTGGATTTGCTAGAATCATATCCTTTGCTAGAAATAATCGGAATTGATAAATTTAAAATTTATAAACAAATCCTGATATTTTTTGCCCTAAACTTAGTATTACAATATGTGAATTTGCCAGAAATGGAGAAACTACGGTAAAAATTATGCAGTAATGCAGAATTTTGCGAAAAATTTTCTAAAGCAAACAACGAGGAAACGGGACAAACAAAGAGGAATTGGAGAAAAGGCACAATACTGTCTTTTTTCTAATTACCCTTATGCTGCGAACTTATAACATCAATCAAATTATTAAAATATTGAGTCTTTTAGTGTGTCCAAGATTTTGTGTAAATTATTTGAATACATTTTTGAATAATGTATTTCAGTTTCGTAAGCTTCTATTGGTTATACGACACTTCCGCTAAGAGGAACTTTGGTCAACGACAAGGTATGCAACCACACCGTTATCTTCGCCATATACTATTTTTAATCATGAGCTCAATCTTGTTCAGCTTCGAAATGTTTCAGTCTTTAATATGTTCCGCATATGTTGTTTTTTTAATGAGTCTCCAAGATTCGAGGCAGAATTAATGGCATCCATTTTTTTTTTTTTTTTCAAAATCAGGGAATACTGCCGAACATTTCCAATGTTCTAGTCTCCATACAGTTCGTAGAACTACGGAAGTGTTCTAATCTCCATACAGTACCGACACATCGTTAAAAATGTATTGTATATATGCGACATTGAAATTCGAAAATGGACTGTAACAAATAAAGAATTCATTTGAAGGAAGACGGAAGACATTCACAATTTTCATATAATCCATTTATTGTTGATGCAAGGAATTAACATTAGTTCAAGTCACATCAGACAAAAGTGTTATTCAAGACAGATAATTTCAGGAAATTTGCAGTACATAAGCAGAAAGAAACCCAAAACTCCTAGTACCTAAATCGGCAGTCGTAAATCTCAGCCTCGAAATAGTCGCCAATATAACTTGATGCCACATCATGATCAGTACATAAATACGATTAATCTACCGTGATGCCGCCTAATGCGATCAGATAGTGCCATTCATTACTTTTCAAACCTAATGTTGTTATTACGTTTCATTAAACATATCATCCTATTTCCTTTCCTTTTAGTCATTTCGTCCAGTGGGCCTGTCCGAGTGACTGATCTAAGAGTACCAACAACAGCTATCCTTGGAGATTCTGTTACCCTGATTTGCATATACGATTTGGGCACTGAAGACCTTTATGTGGTGAAATGGTACAAGGATGATTTGGAATTCTACAGATACGAACCGAAAGATGATAATCAATCAGTTTATTTTCCTCAACCTGGGATCGATATTGACGTAAGTTTGAAAAATGACTTTTTAAATTTATCTTATGAAAAATAAATATAAATGCATTTTTCTAACAGCGGTATTGTATTGCGATCAATGAAATTTATTACCGTAGTAAAACGTTTTATTTTCCTAAAAAGAATTAGTATCTTGCAAAGAGAAAGTGCCTGCTTATTTATTATTCCGTCTGCCATGAATGTTGGCTACCATTGAACTATGAAAGTCGGAGGAAAATCGCCAAAGTAGCGCCAGTCGTTCCTGCAGAATTCTGAGCAGCACATCTATCTGCAGCTCTTACAATAAAGTATTCTTCAGTCTCTCTGCATAATCTACCAAAGAGCCACAGCTGTGAAAAAATAAACAACGATACTTACAGCCTTCAATTTTTTTATTCCAAGCGGAAGTATTCGCTTGCTTTGTAACAAAGCTTTCGTTGATTTCAACTGTTTCATTAGGCCACCCGATTTTACCAGAAGCTCTGCTTAGAACGCAGAGTGTATAAGTACAAACTTCTTGCAGGTGGTTGTTCCAAGCCATTACTCTTTTGTCGACCGTATTTAGCTCTTCTTTTCAGCATTAAATAGATGTTCAATTTTTACTGTGATGCAAATGAAGCTGAGTGTAGTCACAAATGTGATTGATTCCACAGGGCTCGAAGTCATTTCAAAAGGTAAGAAATGCAGGTACAGGTAGAAGCTATGTCAGGACCTCGTAGTACCATAGGTAATTGAGGTATTGCTGAACCTAAGTAATTGTTAAGCTACCACACATCGGGGGGCGATTCGAGGGTCTCCCACCTTTCTCTTACTACCAATCTCTCGAGAGGACCCCGGCTCGCCGTGTACCTTGAGTGCCCCTACGCCGTATGGACACCATACGCCTACAAACATCCATGGCTCTTTGGGATTCGAACCCGGGCTCATCGGCACGGCATTCAGTGTCATCAACCACTATATCGGCTGGGCGGCAACACGAGAATCTTTGCGGTTCACTTTGCAACACGTTATTAACATCACTTATTGACAGTTTTTGATTGTGTTCTAGTATAACCATTCGCCTGCATTCTTTCGATGGGGATCTTTTCGTTGACACGGTTATCTCTACCAATATTTTGCAGTTGTTTCATTATGCTGCTTATGTTTTCTCTTGGTTGTTTCGTTTTAATTAAAAACCTTTTAAAAGGCAGAAGGTTTGTGGTTGAGCATCTCACGTGATTTTCTTCTGTAAGGCCCAAATAAATATATAATGGTGGGGTTACCCCTTTCTCCACATACGCATGTATATGTGTTTGTGATGTTTCTTTCTAGAAAGTACTGTTACAAAATGTTCAGCCGCGGTAAGATAGCTTCTCCGAAAAGCAATTTTAGGGTTGCCAGAAAATGGACAAGGGAGTGCAGGGTTGCCATATTTGACGAGAAATCGCCCATTTGGTGATATTTGCCGACAAAATTGGCGATATGCCATAAACGGATGGAGAACCTTCTGGAACGAATTCTTACTGGTTTAGCCCAGAATGTTCTCCAACACAAGCCAAAAGCTATATAAACCCTGCTGGTACGCGCAGAGTAAGTTGAGAGTCAGAGTCAGAGTGCCTAGTCGAGTCAGTTAAGAGTCAGTGAGCGAGTATCTCGTAGTCTAGTTCCAAGTTGGTCGTCGAGTGCATTGAAAGAGTCTCTTAGTGTATCGCGAATTAGTGCATCGTCGAGTTTGTGTTGAGCTAAGGAACGACTGAACCGATTCGGGAGCTGTACTTTAGTGTATCGTCGAGTGCATCACGAGTTGTAGCGTGGAGAGTATGTAGAGTTCCGAGAACGACCGAGCAGAGTTGGGAGCTTTACTCTGGTGCTTAGCCGAGAAGCTGTCTTCACCGCTACAGACTGATACCCTGAAGGCTGTGTTTCTGTTTGCTTTAGCGTGTTTGTCGTAGTTTTTCCACTACTGTGAACGTGTTTTTTGAACTGTCCTGAAAAATACTGGTAAATAAATTGTGTGTTGATTCTTAATCAAGTGTTGTCGTCAATCACTATAAATCCGCAAACCCGTAAGAACGCAACAATGTTCGATTTTTTGGTTACTGTTGAGTCCTGTCTGATTTCGGTTCTCTGACTTGAGCCTGATATATAGCCTAATAGTCTGAAGGCTGTGTCGCTGATTGTTTTAAAGTGTTTATAGTAGTTCTTCGACGTCTGTAAACGTGATTTTGGAGCTGTCCTGAGTAAATACTGGCTAATAAATTGTGTTTCGATATTTTATCAACTGTCGTGGTTATTCTCTCCAAATCCACGACCCTTGCATAAAGGAAAACGTAATAGAATGTTGCAAAGGGGCCGTGCCCCGTCATATATTAGTTCAGAAATAGGTTGCTATGTAGTTCTTCTGTGTTGAATTTGGGGATCAAGTCATGTAGTCAATAAATACAGGTACAGGTAAAAGTATGGGGAACACCAGCGATGTACCATAGATCAACTGGTAATGCCTTCCCATACTATAAAAAAGGGGGGGAATTGCAAGTTTTATAAGAATTTACATAGACTGAAGCTTTCCAAAAGGTCTAGAGTTTGCCTATTATTGTACATCGTGCAATCCCACAGTACGCTCCGCATCCAGTATTTATTAAAAATAATGATATAGGACATAAGTAGGTTACAAAATAGTCGGAATACAATTTGAGATTCACAAGATAAATTGAACATCTGATTTGGTGCAACAAAAATAGGAGATAAACATAATTAATAAACAGATAAACATAATGAGATAATTATAATTAGTACTGACAACCAATGTTAAAATGAATTGTAATAATAATGCTAAAGAGGTGGCTGTCCATGGGTTATTTCAGATATATTGGTTTATTGCAGTTTATAAAGTTCACGAGTTCACATTTTGTCCATAATCACAGCATGTAAAAGTTTAAGCAGTATGTGGACTTAACACTTAACAGAGATCTAGGCCGTAGGAAGAGAGTCGTTGCATAATTTTCTGAAACTTTGGATACTGATGTTTATCTGTAATTAAAAACCTTTGGAATGTCAGGAGATCAGTTCTTGGGGATTCTATGTGAATATCCTCAGTAAAAGCGCATGAGAAAGTGTAATGATCAGGAGTTCCCTGTTCCCCACATATACAGATATCAGAATTCGCCATATTTCTTGCGTAGAAATATGTGGGTAAGGGTCCATGTCCTGTTACAAAGTAGCAGCTAATTTATTTGTATCCTTGTTCATAAAAAACAAAACATGGCTTAGAAAGAATCAATCGGGGTTCCATCAAACGAAAGCGCAGTTGTAATGAGTGTGCTGTCTCGTCACACTTATCCACAACTGGCGTTATATATCGCTACTTCACGACAATTTCACGGTCGACTAATAACATACTAAAGAGAAATTTTTAATACTAAGAGATACATAACTAAAGAGAAATTTTTAATAATAAATTTATTTGTCTTACTAGAAAATATCTTGTTTGATAATAACTGAAATACTAATTAGTATTAAAAGAAATTAAGATTTCTTGTACTGGACTTTGGAATTCTCTCATCCTAATATTACGAAACCTTGCATTAATTACGTAAAAATTAATTGCTTTGTTTCTCTAGTGTGTTTTGACCTCATATGTCTTCATCTATATTAATTTTCGTTTAAAGAAAAGATTGCAAAATTAATTTAGACCTTATCAGAAAGGATATTTGTTTTGTCACATTTCCCTCTTGTTAATGTTAATTATTCTAGATCGCAATAATGAATAGGAAGCTATCATTTTATTACTACAAAAGCTTTTATTTCTTGGTTTATTTGTTCCGGTACTTAGCTGTATGCTTTCTCTCTAGGTAATCTTTAATCTTTCACTACTTATTTCTCCCTTCATTAATTCCTTTACCATCATATTCTTATTTCTTCTTGACTTCAGCGTTTAATCGCCTATTTTTCTTCTTCTTTTTTTTTTTTTTTCATTTGTTTTTACAGTAAATTTTATGCTTTCCTCCCTTTCATTTGTTCTGAAGGAGATAATAACAAACATCAACGAAATTTTATTCCTTTACTTCTCTTCATATTTCTTTTCATTAAAAACGTGCAACGGTATTAAGCAAAGTTAAATCAAGCTCAAATTAAACTTTGATTATCGCATATAGAATAATAATTTCTAAGGGATTATTGCATTCTTCTGTGAGTGTTATCGCGGTGTAATTGACAGTATATTCCACTTGTTCAGATCCCAGCAAGGGCATAATTGATTTTTTTGTATTTTCTGCTTCGAAGAGAAAAAAATAAGTGTAATTTAATTTACTTAATATACAGGTAGAAAGTAAACTTATGAAAGAAAATCTGAAAGCTTTCAGATTTTATATGACGCCCAAAGGATTGTTTTTTTCCCGTTTTGTGTGTTAGCATTATTTACTAAATGTCATGTTCTTCGCACTTAAACCACATAAAATTCATTTCAACAGTAATATCACAAAATATTTAAAAACAGTATTTCTTTAAAATTTCTGATAGACAGTCTCGCGCGCTGGAGATCAAAATGTATTTTACTATACAGTGTTGCCATTACTCGCTTTGAAATCGTTGAGTTTGTTATTTAAAAATTCGTTAAAGGTTTACAAAATGTGAAATAGATAATAAAACAAATTCGAAATTCAAAATTCGGGCTTGCAGGTGTCCATGTTCAGGTGGAAAATTATGTTATTCTGAATTCGAAGGCTCTAAGTATCGTGCTTTTTCACAGTGTGAGGAACATACATATATTCATACAGATTCTTCATTATTTAATTTCTTTTGAAATAATACAGGGCGATAATATTTCGTGGCAACAATTTTAAAAGTAATTCAGCCTTTTACAGTGATTCAACGTAAAAACCCGAAACGAAAACTCCTTAAACCAGAGATAATGGATGAACTAAAACTGAAACAAGTAAGTTAGCCTGACGGCTGCGCAAATAGAATAAGGAGCAAGCTGGCTCTGACTTAAGGTCGACGTAACAAGCTTAATTGCGAGAATAACGCAACCCCGCA